ATGACTTCAATTGTAAAAATAGAGTGAAATATGTAGATGACGCTACAGTTATGGAATTTTTCCTTAGGCTCTCTCCTTCATATTTGAATTTTACTGTTTCGGAAATTTACTCGTTTGCTTCCTCTAGGGGAATGGTTCTCAACAATAAAAAGCGCAAAGAAATGTGCATTAGTTTTTTGCAGTATTTCCCGTTTCCGCCAGCCCCCCTACTTGTTGGTAATTCCCTGATAGAAAAGGTTTCCTATCACAAACTGTTAGGGGTTCACTTATCGGAAAAATTAACATGGAACGAACATGTCTTTCATATTGTAAAGAAAGGGAACGAGCGGTTATATGTAATGCGTGCTATTAAGAAATGCGGATTAACTAGTACTGATAAGCAGCTTATTCTGGTCTATTGTAGCATCATCAGATATGTTTTAGAGTATGCGAGCCCCGCTTGGGCTGGCCTCACGTAACACTTAAGTGATCACATTGAATCGGTACAAAAGAGGGCACTAGAAATTATCTTTCCGTCTTTGAGTTATGAGGACGCGCTTAAGAAATCAGGCTTAATTTTTCTGCGCCAGAGGAGGGAGAATGCCTCCATAACATTCGTCAAGCGAAGTCACTCTTCTTCTGACCAATTACGAAAGTTAGTGCCGCGTTGTATATTCACAAGACCATAATATTCGCTTAGGACAGGAGAAACTGTGTCTGTACCTGCCTCTCCAACAACTAATAGATTCGGAAATTTTTGCACCATCAAATACCAGAACCACGTTTAAAGTACCGGATTGCCATTCGTCTTAATACTCATAGTATTTAACTCAAAGAAAATTATCGTAACTGCTGCATTGTGCCTCAAAAGGTACTTTGTCTGGGCAAGTGCATTACAGCTCGCAAGCACATGCGCCACGGACTCTTGAGCTTCCCCGCACCATCTGCACGTGGTATCCAGTTCCTCCCGAGTCTTGGTCTTCCTGGAGCAGCACAGCTTGGTTGGTGCTAGCTGCCCATATAACTCGTTGATCCCTGCTATTGAGTGCATCGGCGCCATCTTCCACTCCGACAACCACGAGAAGAACTCTTTATCCAGTCTTCATCTTTCCATCTTGCCTTCACTAATTTCCCCTGCCATCTCTGCGGTCGAATGTTCTCACAGCGCTTGTTTAGCACAACTTCATTGACTCACGGTCCAATCTTCCTTCCCTCTATACTTTCACCTTCATCTGTTGACCCTGATGGTAGCGGGTGCTGTAAATCTAATTTAATGCCCAGCTCCTCTGCATACATTTGTGCATCTCTGACCAAGGAACGCCTACCCTTCTCCGCTTTCTCCTCAAACTGCCTTACGAGACCGATAGTTGGATCTTTGTTTTGGTAAAGCCTCACCGCTGCCTTGATTTTCGTAGCCTTATACTCTGTCTCGACCGACTTCAATCCTCGCCCAGCGGCTTTTCTTGAGAGGTATAGCAGATCAGTTGACGCTAGTGGGTGCTTTCCTCAGTTCTCTGCAATAACCTTCCGCGTATCTCTATCGATTCTCTGTAGCTCTGCAATATGCCAAACCTGGGTCCACGTAAAGTATGTGAGTACTGGTAGAGCGAACTAAATGGTCGCAACTACCTTAAAATGATCTGAAAGAGGGATTAACCATACCACAGAGAGTCTCCGGAGATACGTCCTTGCTGCATTTTCAAGGACAATAGTATCTTCTTGCTTAGTGTTTTCCAGTACACCAAGGAATTTGTACTGGGTATCCTTCTCTAAACTCTTAGCTTCACCAGCTCGTGTTCTCCTACCAACATTCCAGTCGACTCTTGGAGTGCTCCACGTTTCACGTGTGCAACAGCACATTTCTTCTCATTGCAATGTAGCCCGATATCTTCCATGGCCTCTTTAACAACTCTCAACACTCTTTCTAAATTTCCTTCCGAAGCAGCGGAAACCTTCAGGTCGTCAACATACAACAGGTCAGTGATCTTTGCATTCAGTGGTTTAGACAGACGATAGCCTTCTGTTTCCCGCAACTTCCAGGCGATGGGATTTAGGCATAGAGTAAACAAATGAATAAAGGCTGATAGTTTATAAATAAACTGTTAGGGGCTGCGTCGGTGTGGGTAACGAAATAATTTGGATATATCAAAAAAGAAAAAATGGTAAATTGGCAACAACCGTAACGATTACAAAAGCTGACGTTTCGAGCGTTAGCCCTTCGTCAGAGCGAATAGAGTAAACAGTTTAGAACACAAGGCATCTCCCTGGGGGAGACCTCGCCGAAAAGATATCCTCTCTGACACTTCTAGGCCCTCCTGGGTTCTAATAACTCTCCTGGTGTTCCATTTATCACTGAGTCTCGCTATCAATCTCCCCATCCACTTAGGAAAGTGATACACGCCTACTCTGGGGCCTTAAGTCGCCGTAACTTTGGGCGACTTTGGGCGATTTAAGGCGACTTAAGTGAAATTGGCAGAAAAAACAATGCGACTTTGGGCGATTTAAGGCGACTTGAGTGAAATTGGCAGAAAAAACAAT